AAATTAGTTAGCATAAATCAGTTCAATGACGAAAAATTAGGTGTCTATTTACTTGTGACCACTCAGTGTATATAACAAAACGTCCATCCAACCAGATAAAGCCTGTTTGCTACTAGATGTCACACAGACATCTGACATATGCAGACAGAAGAGTTTCACGTAAGAATTCTTGTTAGTTTTCAGGTGTTCTGATGGAGTACATGTTGATCATCTGAGAGAGAAATCAATGAAGAGTCTCCTCTTCTCAAATATGCTGCGGCCCAGAAAGTGCAGCAAAGAAGCCTGTTTAATCTGGTAAAAGCAGCGAACATGATTAGAATGGTGTATGGAATCCTGTTTTATGCATCAGCAAAGACCATGTTACAGAAGGTGCAGAATGCAGACATGAGAATAGCAACTAGAGTCAGCAAAACTAACACCATATAACAGTTGAGCTTTTTACTTGATATGAGCAGCATTAACGTAAGACAAATGATTCTAGTCAAAGTAATGGATCAGTGAGGTGAAGATGTAGATGAAACGTCTTTCTGGAAAACACCAAGAGTATTGAGTGGATCCACGTAGATGACAATAAGTTAAACACAATGAAGATTGGCAGTAGGATGTGAATAGAAAGTTCAGAACTGGTCAACACAACCAAAGTCATGGAATGTATATATGAGCAGAGATTGACAGTAATCATAACGATGGATGGCTCTGTGATATGTAGCAGTTGTGTAGAGAGATGGAAATCTAATGTTTGAATGGCTAACAGCAAAACACTTGGTGATCTACTTAATTCACAGCAGAATATGAAGCATATAAGGAAACACTTGTCAGATTGATTAGTAACAGCAAAGATAATAACAGGATCATACTCTTTAGAAACTGCCAAAACCTCATCACAAATTTGGAGACAGACTGCGTCCAATGAATATAAGTAAAACTATTTAAAGATTTGAAGGCTCATCTGATAACGACCTATATACCAGGCCACTGTGGCATAGCATTCAACAAGAAATAGCTCGCCAAGCTGGTAAGATCTTCAAATTATATAGTTAATGGGACAGCATGTAAAATAAGGGAACAGGAAATGATGGAACAGAGATTACACTGATCAAGTGAAAGATTGGAGGAAAGAATGTAGAAGTATGGAAATGGGGTGAGTACAAAAGTATTGAAAAGGACAAACGCTACTTAAATCAATCAAATTGGACATTTTCATTAGAAGAACTTAGAGGAAGTTATTGAAGGGATTAGAGCCTGTGCTTCGGCCGGCGCCAAATTCCTCAAGCATAATACAGTAATGGAAGTAATAATGATAAAATAATCTTATTTACATTGGATATTTAGTGTTAAAAATAAAATAATTATGCTAGAGGTAAGTGATACACAAAAATTAATAATAATAATGTACAAAGCAAAAATAGTTTCATCCTTAGGGTTCGGAATTGTAGATGTCGCCACGTTGCTTGATATGCGCATAGATAAAGGTGCTGAAATGGGACTCCAAAATTGGAGATCTGTGCTTTGACCAGTTCGACATTCCTCTAGCGTGAGAATAAAAAAAATATTACAGTGTAATAATAAAATAGAAAAACATTTTATTTATTGGTTAGTTTATTTATTTATGTAATCATTACTAAAGCTCGGAGGGGGTAGTTTAGAACAATGCATAGAGTCTCAAGACCCAAGAACACAAGCACTTTCTACTCTCCTTCAGTAGTAAAAAAAAAAAAAGTTTGATACAGATAAGTATTGTATTTATATATTTAACATCAAAATCTAGAGTAGGCAATTGGCGATTTGTTCAACCAATATTAGTTTTGACTTCATACTTTTAGGTTTCCAAATTTCATCAAGCATGTAATAGTAATAGAAATAGTAGTACTGAGATAGTTTTAATTACATTGGGCACTTTTCGTTAACAAAAATGTTTTAATACTGTTAAATAATAATAAAGTAGAAAATTATAGTGGTTGCTGTGGTTCGGAATTAGAGATGGCGCCACTCTAGCTGGACTGCAGCCTAATAAACGTGATATGAAGAGACTCCATAACTGGAAGGAGGAGTACCTATGTTTTAGCTAGTGTTAAACTTCTTTAGCGTGAAAATAAATAAAGCATTAATTCACTCGGTTAATAAGGTATAATAACTTGACCTTTAAAGATATGAAATGATGTTGTTGTTTTTTTTTGGTTTTAGTAATTTTGAACTTCTCCAGTATTTTGTTCAGTTAAGTAGGTTGACATAATATATGAAATAACTTTATTACACTATTAAGTGGTGATTAAAATAAATGAGATAATTATATTTCCCGGTTAAGTATGTGCTCTAAAAAATGAAGGTATACATAACATGTTCAATTACATAGGTACATAGAACAGGGGAGAGAGATGTCTTGTCCAGTTGATACATAAAACATATGTTACATATCTCGTTTCCATTAAGTTTGAACATAAAATACATGCTATATTGCTTTCACTGTTAAGTAGGTACACAGAATAATGGTTACATATCTTGTTCAGCTAAAATAGGTGCACAGAACATATGGGGCACATATGTTTTTAAGTAAGTGCATAGAACATGTGGTAGGTATCTTCTAATGGATCACTAGCCTTTATTTTGAGTGTTCCACTTTTCTAATTATTTTACAGTTTATATTAAGATTTTTAGTGGTTTGGCTTGTTTAAAAACTCGCGCAAAGCTATCTACGCTAGCCGTCCCTAATTTATCAGTGATAGACTAGAAGAAAGGTAGCTAGTCAACACTACCCACCGCCAACTCTTGGGCTACTCTTTTACCAACGAATAGTGGGACGGGGATTCGAACCCGCGACCCGCAGATTGCGAGTCGATCGCCCAAACCACTAGATTATGCCAGGCCAGATATTTACATTTTGAATATTATTTCAGTATACTTCAATTAATGTATAATAAACTTGTTTGTACTTTTATATTATAAACTCTAACTATTTTATAAATAAAATAAAATGTCAAATTTGTTTAAATAGATGTTTCAAGGTTTTTACCTGTTCTAATGTCCCAATCTTTAGTGGTTTACAGTATCGGTAACGATCAGACATACCTGTTCTAGTCTCCCAATGTTTACTTGTGTAAATTATCGGTAACGATCAGACATACCTTTTCTAATGTCCCAATATGTGTTAGTTAAATTGTCAGTAACGACCAGACTTACCTTTTTTAATGTCCCAGTGTTTACCAGTGTAAAGTAACGGTAACGATCAGACATACCTTTTCTAATGTCCCAATATTTGTTAGTTAAATTGTCAGTAACGACCAGACTTAATTATTCCAGTGTTTACTAATTGAAATTATCGGTGACGATCAAACTTACCTTTCCTAATGCCCCAATGTTTACCAGTGTAAAGTAAAGGTAATGATCAGACCAACCTGTTCTAACGTACCAATGTTTACTGGTGTACATTATCGGTAACGATCAGACCTACCTGTTCTAATGTACCAATTTTTATTGGTGTAATTATCGGTAACGATCAGACCTACCTGTTCTAATGCATCAATGTATACTGGTGTACAGTATCGATAATGACCAGATTTACCTGTTTTAATGTACCAATGTTTACTGCTGTACAGTATTGGTGTGGATCAGACCTACCTATTCTAATGTCCCAATTTTACTGGTGCACAGTATTAGTAAAGATGAGATCTACCTGTTCTAATGTCCCAATGTTTACTTATATAAAGTATCCGTGATGATCAGACCTACCTGTTCTAATGTCACAACGATTACCAGATAGCCTGGTGGACACAAACACCCAAAGGAACCAGTAACCATCAGATGGCAGGATCCCCCATTTCGACAATAGCTACTTGAACAATGTGGAATTTCGCAGTTCTGACCTATAGAAGAAATTTTGCGATATTTTAATTTCAGCCTAGTCAGAGTTTATTCTTATGCCATTCATTTTAATTCATTTGATATCAGAATCTAATTATTGTTCATTACGCCAAATATGGGGAGGAAAAACATTACTGTCGAGCTTAGCACGATGATTCTAAAATCAAAGACTTTTTTTACTAAATTGTTTAACCTCAAATATTAAAAGAGAAATGCTAAAACATTCGTTGCTTAAAATAACGATGAAAAAAGTCGTTCTCCATTAATATCAACTGTGATAATTCAAGGTTAGAGTCTACCCAAGAACCGGGTTAGGACAGCAAGAGATACTTTACCTTTAAATCCAGGTCTACATGAACAGAAGTAAGAGCCTTGAGTCTTGATGCATGTGCCACCATGATTACAAGGGTTGAGTTCACATTTGTCCACCGAAATCGGATGTCTGTATGGCTGTTCTCTGGCAAACTCGCCCATTTCTAACCAACTGTCGTTCTCTAGAGAACAATAAATATGTTAAAACAAAAGACAAACGGATAAATAAATAGAAATAAATGGACAAGCAGATGATTGTCTATCACTAATTTTACACATGACAAAGAACTACCATTAAGGGTTTTAGAAATATTTTTTAGTAATAATGAACTTTATTTAAACCGTCGTAGCAGTTACTATCATGTTTGGTCTAGACACGGTGTATCTCTCGGTGCTAATCACAAAAGAACACTCATCTTGTCGATTTGTAACGGTTAAGATTACAAAATGAAGTCTCGATACTTCAGGGATAACACACAACGCCAGCTGATCAATGCTTCGTATAATTTGTCATAGTCATCGAGATCATTACTTCAATATCTTCATTATAAGCATGGAAAATAAACCTCGATATTAACTGGCAAGGTTAAAATTCCCTCAACAGTTATTTAGTTTTAATGCTAACAAAGAAAAGCAGTCATTCCCAAGAGAATTTAATTCTAGAAAAAACACACTCGAGATTATTGATGATTTTCCTCATTCTCTACCGAATAATGTTTCCGATAAATGTCTTTATTTGTTTCTTGAGATTACTATGAAGGTTTTCAAAAGTGCATGCAAAGTATACAATAGGCTTGTTCAAATGCTGGTTCATTAAGACTCATGGTTTTTTTCAAGTAGTTCACACAGTCCGTACTATGAAACGAATCTTTATGTTCTTCCGGTCTATTAATGCTAGAACACTACGTTTTTCTCAATTACATCCTAAATTATTTGGTTTTCAGTATTAGTTCTAGAAAACGTCCAGAGTATAATCGTTCTTATCAAATCTATTCGCTACTGTATTCTTGCTAGGTGCCTTAGAAAAAATGCTTAGATATTACAAGGTATATTGCATAGGTTGATGTCTTGTTTCTGCACTATGTTGGCGTATAGAGGAAACACAGGGGTTATTCAATTTTTTTGTGTGTTTTGATGGAAATTCCCATATGTTCATAGGCTCTGTCTTTTAATTGGCGTTTGGTTTTGCCAATATAGGCGGCCTTACAGTCTAAACACATGTAAAGATAGACAAACCAAGAACAATAAGGAATGGGGAGATCATTAGCAGAGAAAAACTTTTTTATGTGTGATGTGGATTTAAAAACTAATCTTAAATCCACTTGAGGGTAGTAACGACCAAGTATGCGTTTAAGTTGATTTTTTTTAAATTTAAGCTTTTTTTGCCAGTATAGGGAAGACACGAGTATTACATTATTTCCCTACCCTAATCTCGTTATATGCCCCCAAAACCCATTAGAAATATCATCCTCATTATAATTCAAGTAATCATTCAATAGTAATGTCTTCTTTCACATATATTTCTCATCTAGTTTTCATTGTATGCCCCAAAAATCCACTAATAATTTAATCCCCATTATTATCCAAATATTCTTATAGCAAAACCAAATTGAGCTATCTGCTGTGTCCACCGCGGAGAATCGAGCCCCGGATTTGAGCGTTGCAAGTCCGTAGACTTACTGCTGTCCCACTCCTTTCAAACACATTTTACGCCTTACGATTATTATGTGCCATAAAGTAATTGACAACAGTTTACTCTTATTACAAATGAATAATAAAATTAATATGCCGCATCATAGAATGAATTAATGGCGATGAAATCACTTAGGGAAGGTCAAAATATACATTATGTATCAGTTACTTCTGCTTTTGGAAATTTTAGATAAATAACAGGGAAATTTTTTAGTTTTATTTGTTGTTAAGAGCAAAGATACACAATGGGCTATCTGTGTTCTGCCAACCGCAGGTATCAAACCCGTTTTTTTAGAGTTATAAGTCTTTAGACTAACCGCTGACTCTATTGGGAGGGATAAATTTGTTAGTAACTTCATTCCAGGATTGTGGGTACTGTACAAATAACACTTCATATTCACTTAAACTTTTTCTGAACAAGTTATAATGTCTATACAGACTGTGTTCTTTTAGCACAGTTCCTCGGGGGGGGGTTCAGCGGTACACTTATGATTAGGTTTGTTGTGAATGTCACGCAAAGCTTCACGAGTGCTACCTGTGCTAGCCATCGCTAATTTAGTAGTGAAAGACTAAAGGAAAGGCAGCTAGTCATTACCACCCACCGCCAACTCTTAGGCTACTCTTTTACCAACGAATAATGGGATTGACCGTCACTTATAACGCCCCCACAACTGCAAAGGCGAGCATGTTTGGTGGGATGGGGATTTGAACCCGCTACTCGCAGATTACGAGTCGAGCATCCTAATCACTTCGCCAGGTCAGCCTGTAAACTTATGGACTCCTGGGTTCGATTCCCGCAGTAAAGTGTACATATCCCACTGTGCAGCTTTTCACTAAGAAGCAATAACTTTTAGCAAAATTAATTTCTGCTTTAAAATAATATATGCATGTATTAATCATTTTCGGTTTTCGCAGTTTGCATTATTTCACTTTTTTTTACGTTTTTATCTAAACAGTTTCTTTCAATGGCAGATTACAAAAGTATCAGTACCACGTGAAATCGTAAAGGTAATGAGTGCACAGGCTGTATATTCTTTGTAATAGCTTATTTTCAAACAATGGATCTGTGACCTTATAAGCTAACTGATAACTAACTGACATAAACAAAGCAACTGTAGTATTGCTTATAATTTTGCTAACATTACACGTAACAACAACGTCTGTGTTACTGTCAAAGGCTGTAGTAACAGGCATATTAAATGTAGCACCAGCAAAGCACGAAAGCAGTTTCTTTTTATGCCAGAGAGAGAGAAAAAAAGCGATTTATTCTTTGAATAATTTTCAGTTAAATAGTCAAATTATTTTTTAACAAACCATAAATAAACTGCAAGATGTTATAGTTTATTTTAAAAGGATTCAATTTCTAGACGAGCTAATAATCCGTTTATGAATTACCTTTACATTTCGATTTCGACTTGGTTTGGGCAGTAGAAAACGTTCCTTCTGGACATGGTTTGCATTTGGACTGTCCAGTTTTGTCCTGATAGAAGTTTTCTGGACAGGAGGAACACTCTCCCTTGTCTTCGTATGTCCCTCTCGGACATTCCACTGAAAGTAATAAGTTTGTGTCATATGAATTAAAGATCTGGAAACGTTCTATTTCATTGTCAAATCAACTTACATTCTTCATTCAGTAAAGAACCTCTTGAGACCCCCTAACTATTCAACAAAACTGATTCAGCATGCTATCACTTTCATAAAATGTGTTGATGGAGTTGATTACGTTATTCTTATATCTGATGATGTATAACCTAATACGTTTTTTATCTTTATCCGGCAGTATTAGACAAATATTCTTTTATTTAACGTATAATTGTTCTGTATTTAATACAATTTAATGATGACAAGGAAACTAAATTCTATACGCTAGACTAGTTTTGAATTGAAATTTGGTACGCTTATTTGTGACTTCAAAGAGTATTAAAAAATTATTTGCATACTTGTATTTATCAGAAGCTTCTCTTTTTCTACCTACCTTTCCATAATAAAAGTGAACTTCTAATTAATACAACAAGAAGATAGTTAACAAACTGATCTCAAGGTGTAGCTGAAAGCTTGTAAGCTTTTGGCTTCTACTGTAAGTCTCCTTTAAATTCAAGTCCTTGTCTACTAAAAAGAAAATATGCCCAGCTTCATTCTGTCACATTGTTTTTTTAACGTTGTTTTAGTCGCAGGATTCTTTTTCGTAACCCTGATCTTTTTCTTTCTTTTTCTTACAGGTGAAGGTGTCAGTACTGATTGGCTTATGGCGTGGCTTTGGAGCCCGTTGCTTTCTTGTACTAGTTTTCCAGCTTCTATGGAGAACATTAATGACTTCTTTCTAAGAAATTTTATTCTTTAGCCCTTCATCATTTACTAGTTTCTCTGTATTGTTATTTCCTTTCAGGAACAGCGGTAACATACCCCTCTAGCCACCGATCTAAAAGTTCATACCATATGCGTAGCTCGCGCTTTTAGTTCTAGAACTACATTTGGAAGAAAACAGGAAAAGATTGGGTAATTTTCATGGATTTCCATAAACTGTAAATAAAACCTCTGTAATAATTCAGGGTATATTTGGCTCCTATATTTATCTAGCTCATTTCTAGACGTCTCATTATGAACTCCGTTATTTATGTTTGTTGCATATAAACAGGATTATGTTTAAAAGCAAACTCTAGCGCCTACTACTGAAGAGTTATGTGAGATAAAAACAACAATTTTCGTGCCTACAGATAATAATATGAAAACTCTATAATTAAATGCTATTTCAGGTTTCCTTTCATGAACTAAGACTACACTTTCCATCTTACGTGTAAAAGCTCCACTTTTGGCAAGTTGTAGTGATCAAATATAGCTTTTCTCGTTTTCAATTTTGACCGATTCATTAACATGAGATCATGTTTGTTAAATCACACAACGGAACATACATTTGTTTTAAACGGATAAAAATTTAAATAAATAGTTAAAAAATAAAGCGAAACCACGTTTCAACAAGTTAACCTGCCATCGTCCGGTAAAATTATACCGTTATGTTTTTAAACTATTTATTCACTTTAGTATTTGGCCACACCAACATAAATTCGTCCTCGGACATAGTACTACAAACATACCGCAACTTTTAGCAATTATTTGACTGGAAAATAATAGAATAAAAAAAATCGAAGATCACTAACAACATTTGTTGGTGAAAGGATCCACTGTGTATCCTGGTTCATTGCAAACTAGACTAAACTTGTCTTGATGAAATGAATGTGACCATAAATCTGCTCCTTCCTCCTCTATTTCTTGCTTAAGCTCTGTATTAGAACTCACAATTTCCTTGGTATGAAGAAGTACCTCTTCTATCAAAGCTTCAGCATTGGTAATTCCATCAAGATATTCATACTCTTCTGGGATATATTGTGTCTGAAAATAAAAAGCCAAGATAGCACATATTGCAATGTCTTTGAAATAGTATCTCTTACAGTGTTAATAATGCAATCAAGATATACATTTTATTGTGGGGTATACTCTGCTTTGAAATATAAACTCAAGGTAACACATATTACAATGTCTTTGACAGAGTATCTCTTACAGTGGTATTAACGCCATCAAGATATCCATTATCTTCTGGGATATACTCTGTTTGGAAATAAAAAAATCAAGGAAACATACTACAATGTCTTTGAAAGGGTATATCTTACAGTGTTAGTATAAATGAACATTGCTACTCATGTCGTTGGCCCTCTGGAAGCGTTCTTAGTGTGATGATTGAAAAAATATCACTGTATTTTAACCTTAAATAACTAATATAAATGCATATTTGACCAGGTAATTTCTCTAATAATTATTCTGCAGGTGCTCTGCATGTTGTTCCGACATCTTTTAACACCTGAAATGAGAAGATCATGTACTTATTAGGCAAAGGTTACATCATACAACGAGTATTTCATAGGACTCATACTTGCTGGTCCCTGTTTCAATGTCCTGCCTTCCTAGAATAGAGTCATAGTAATTCCAAAGTGTGATATTCAGGCTTATACAAGTCAGTATGAATCGATGATTATCTCCCTTGAACATGTTTAATTCAAATGATCGTTAACAAAGGTGATCTAAGTATTGTAGAGTACTGCACTAGGACCTTGGCCTGGCTTCAGTGTGGTATTTTGTTATTCTTGACCTTGCACTTGTCCTGTGTGGAAGTGAATCTTTCTTTCTTTCTCGGGTCTTCATTTCGTACTGACGTGCTTTACCCTACCCAAAAGCCAGTTGAAGTCTATATAAGAGTGAAATCAAAGCTGACCAGTAATTTAAGACTTACATTTTTTGTTTTATAAATAAAAAGTTTGTCTTATTTGTACATCTATGTTACTTGTCTTTACTTTGCCGTTCGTGTTCACTTTATTATCTCTAAGACATTTTAGAAACATGCATTTTGTGGCTGTTTAATAGTTTTCTGGTAGATATCATTATACCTGAATATCTCATTAGCAGTATAGTTGGTTAGTTATATTGTGTCTTGTTACCTTAAGAGCTGTCTGACATGCAAAACAGATTTGTTATGTCTGTTTCAAATCACGTGCATACAGACATAGCATCCAACTGTGGCCGTGATCAGCTGCTTTAATTTCTGAGAAGCTACCCTTGTAATTGTGACATGCCAGAATCGACAGATATCAGTCATCTGTTTGTATTGTAGATTGTAACATACTCTGATTAGGGTAGGTGTCTAAGCAACAGCATCATTGATTTGGAAGAGATCACACGTTCTACTAATAGTACTTTGAGACAATTGGAGCCAACTCGCAATAGGTTTTTGTGATTAAACACGTGAATGAAACATCCAAATATCTTTAAAGTATAGCCATGAATCACAAGCAGTATGGAGTACTTAGAACTCTGCAATTACTTTCAAAGTTACAAGTGAGACAATACTGTATGATATTAATATATACATCTTAGGCTTAATGAACAATTATTTACAGTCGACATTACTTGACTGATCAGTAACTGCCTAATTTGCACTACAAAGAACTAAGAAGGTGATTGACATTGTTTTATACCAATGATTTTTTCTTGCCTTATCTATACTATTCTTTCCTAAACATATTTAAGTTTCAAAAAATAATGGAGGTGCTACTTTTAAACATTTATGGGATTGCCTAGCGGAACATGACGTAGGTAGCATCAGTGAAAATAATATAGTGGTGCAATACTGACGCAACAGTAAGATGCAATGTTGAAAGTACCGAATTGCATTATTAGTGAGAGTTACATGTTCAGCGACGTCACATCTCGAACTTTGGACAGTTTGATCCGCAGCCCTATACACTAACCACTAAGCCAAGTCTAGCCCAATAAATGAAAGATGCATTACGATAAGAATATATTACTGGTAGTAATGAAGGGACAGTTTAAAGTAACGGAGGAATATGAAAATAATGAAGAAAACTGTTCAGAAATATAGTATAGATTATTAAATACAACAATAATATGGTGCTTTATCAAATATAAGCATTCCTTAGTAATAGGGATAGTTTATTAATCAAAGTAACAGAATATGCGTAATCAAAAATTTCATAAGGATGTTATACGAAAAGTAATCGAAGTATGCGATATTAGCAGGTACAATTGGCATGATTACTGAAAGGTCAGACAAGGATGTAATATTTAAAATAATAGAAAGGGAACTACTGAAATAAACTAAGGGTGCAATACCAATGGTAACGGATGTGCTGAGTTACTATAAGTAACGAAGATATTCTATATTGAAATAAATGAAACTGTGAATAGTTGAAACTGACGAAGGGCTATAACAGTGAATAAGAAAGGAAAATAAACACTCAGTTTCCCAGCAAATAAGTTTTAGAATGTTGTGACGAAGAGAACTATGTTTTTCTATTTTCATTTCTTACTAGAAAAATTTTATTGATTTACTGTTGTTACTAGCTTGTACTAACCACGTGGTCTCCAAAGCTCCTAATTTATTGTTGTTACTAGCCAGTAATAGCTACGTGGTTTCCAAAGCTTCTAATTTATTGTTGTTACTAACCTGTACTAGCCACGTGGTCTCCATAGCTTCTAGTTTATTGTTGTTACTAGCCAGTACTAGCCACGTGGTCTCCAAAGCTTCTAATTTATTGTTGTTACTAGCCAGTACTAGCCACGTGGTCTCCAAAGCTTCTAATTTATTGTTGTTACCAACGTGTACTAGCCACGTGGTCTCCATAGCTTCTAATTTATTGTTGTTACTAACCTGTACTAGCCACGTGGTTTCCAAGGCTTCACGTCCTGTTACTCCGTCTCGGGAACATAAAAAGCCAAAATTGTGACACTGAATTGATTGACAAACGTCCCTGTTATGCTTCAAAAGACCCTCCTTGATGGTCGTCATCAATCTCTCCAGGAGCAAGTGATCTGAGCAGTTGGTCACGCCAACCTTAAACTTAGCGGGAGCTTGAAGTGATGTCGTTGGGAGTTCACCTGGGGAGATATTCTTTGAAGTGAGGAGAAAAAAATAATACATCGAGGAATAAAACAATATTATGACTTATATGGCAGCTGAAAATCGGGTACAAGTTTAACAAAAACTTACTTCGTTCCAAGAGTTGAAAACTAGAATCTAGGGCCGTATTATGACAACATAGACGCTCAATTATATATATTTGTAAAAACATTATAATTTATTAACCAAGAAAAAAATATATAGGAATAGCTAATCATAGTAAATATTTCTAACGTTTGAACATCAAAATAATCAACCAATGTAATATAAAATCATGATTTTAAATAAATGAGTAACATTGGCTTAATAATTTTTAATTATTTAGATTATGTAACAGAGAAAAAGAGTTTGAATATTTTTTTACTAAGGTTAACCTCAGGTGCGGGCTTCTACATAGTCGCGGGTTCTGTTCACATTGCCAAACTTCCTCAACAAAAGTAAATGAATATTTTTTTTCATGATAACTGCTGTTTTTTAAGTGTTGTAACTTTGATAAATCCAAATTGTAATTACATTCTACGAACTTTCCGAGTTGTCAAATGCCAAACATTTTACAGAATTATCCAAACACTTCACATTACTGCTCAACGATACCAAACACTAAACACACTTCACATTACTGCTCAACATTACCAAACAGTAAACACGCTTTACACGACTGCTCAACGTTACCAAACAGTAAACACGCTTTACACGACTGCTCAACGTTACCAAACAGTAAACACGTTTTATATGACTGCTCAACGTTACCAAACAGTAAACACGCTTTACACGACTGCTCAACGATACCAAACACTAAACACGCTTCACATTACTGCTCAACATTACCAAACAGTAAACACGCTTTACACGACTGCTCAACGTTACCAAACAGTAAACACGCTTCACACGACTGCTCAACGTTACCAAACAGTAAACACGTTTTATATGACTACTCAAGTTACCAAACACTAAATACGCTTTACATGACTATTCAACGTTACCAAACAGTAAACACGCTTTACACGACTGCTCAACGTTACCAAACAGTAAACACGCTTCACACGACTGCTCAACGTTACCAAACAGTAAACACGTTTTATATGACTACTTAAGTTACCAAACACTAAATACGCTTTACATGACTATTCAACGTTACCAAACAGTAAACACGCTTTACACGACTGCTCAACGTTACCAAACAGTAAACACGCTTCACACGACTGCTCAACGTTACCAAACAGTAAACACGTTTTATATGACTACTCAAGTTACCAAACACTAAATACGCTTTACATGACTATTCAACGTTACCAAACAGTAAACACGCTTTTCACGACTGCTCAACGTTACCAAACAGTAAGCACGTTTGACATGACTACTCAACGTTACCAAAAACTAAACATATTTTACATGACTACTCAAGTTACCAAACATTAAACACTTTTCAGGATTACCCAGCGTCATCTTGCTTGCACTTTAAAGCACTTCCCCATGTTATAGCACATTCTACAAAGATGGATTTTCCGCCACGATAGAGCATTCTTATGACACACCGCAGAGCTATCTCTCGTAATCAAACTATGTAGCCACAGTTTATAGAACATTTACTGAACATTTAACCGCTTTAAAAAGTCAAGAATCAATTATATACTGGCTCAGCTAACTATGCTACCTACCAAGACAGTCAGGAAGACTGTCAATGCCATGGATTCGCTGGAAATCCCATATTCCTTGTAGTGGATCACACTCTACGTAACCCCGACGGATAACGGAGAAAGTTTCCGCCATAGAAAATCCATCCATGCATCTAAATCGACACCTAAAAACTTCTTTGTTTGATTGACAATTTATCTGACCATTGGCCGGCGCATTCAGCACACCACATCCTCGTCCTGAAATCAAAAATTGTCCTGTAGAGCAAGTGATTTTTATCGTTTAGAGTACCGATATTATCTACAAAATATCCATGTAACACGATCAACAAGCTTTAACACATCGATGTGCTTTTATCATTAATTTTAATTTACTAATTAACATGTTCAAGTAAGATAACACCAGGGGTCACCAAACAGTTATTATAAATGATTGAAGATTCAGGATTCTACCAACTGTTGTCTTGTTTTTTGAAGATCCTGATGAAAATATTACTGCCCTACATTATGGATCTAGCTGTTTTGAGCGTTTTCGTAATGTTTGTATATTAACAACTCAATATACAAAGAGGGAAATACACATAATAAAGTATCAGTTTTGGTTTGATAAGAATGAGGCCTCATTATTAGAGACTAATACATTTCACCCAACTTATCTGGTAAAATTGAAACCTTAAGTTAATTATTTCTAGACAATTAATTTCTTCCTCCGCTTATGATGGAGTGCTTGGATCTGAATAATACTTTGAAGGTCATGTGATTAAATTGAACATGAGCATTCGAGTAGACTCTAATACTAACATCATTACTTACAAGTGTTGCCACTGTACTGATAAGGTTCTTAATGTCATGACTAACAAGTGTATGAAACCAACACCCATGAAGTTCCTACGATCATATCATTATACTTACTAAAGCTTGAGTCGGTTCTGGCAGGTTCCTTGATGATAATTTTATACTTGCAGGAAGTATACGTCCTAAGCTCGTGATCAGTTGCATGACACGTGTTCTCGTGCGTGCCGTGGCTCGATACTGATAGGAAGGAACATGTAACCTCAGCATTTTCTCCACTAGCAGTGACGAAGACGGGATGATTTACAGTCACGGACTGTGGTTCTTCAGTCTCAAAACTCTGATCTTCACAGGCCCCCAAAACAGGTTCCGGAACCACGCGCTCTGCAGTAAAATATTACTAATACTATGTGGTATTGTATTATTGATAACTTTTTAACATACAAATTATCGAGCATTCAAACAGAACAAATAGTGACTATGTTGCTCTTGCTAACCCAATACAAATCATAACAAGTATCTACAAAACACGTTGGGCAGTTGTTGTTGTTTAGCGCAAAGCTAAATAGTAGGCTACTGCACTCTGTCCAACGCGGGCAATCGAGCCCTAGAATTTAGTATAGTACCGCTGACCTATCGGGGTACACATTTTGCTAAGACCAACATTTAAGTTTTAAACACACAGTCTGCAGGACTTGGGAAATCTTCAGCATCTGCTTAAAGCAATACGCAATAAAATTCTATGTTATAAAACTCAATATGCATTTCAGTGCTAGTTAAAATACACGTAGCAGCCACAGAAAGTAAGTCCAGTGAAAGAACCAGATTCTCTGGACATAACACAATTTTACTTACTTTTTGGGCACGAGTGGGCTTTGTGGTGGAGTTCTGGATTTCGGAGGTGACGAGCCGTGTTCAAATTCGTACGATATCATAAAATACTACTGTCACTTTAAGCTGTGGGTACGTTATATGAGTAACAGTCAATCCATTAGCGTTGCTGGTCAGGTTACGTTAGATCTGATTATCTTTGATCAGGAGTTCAAAGTTAGGTACGACTGCAGACAGCGTCATTAACTTTGTGGTAAATAAATACACTTAGTTTTATTTCTAAGATATATTATGTATTCTCGGGTTTATAGTCTTAGTTAAAGAACAAAGGGATAATTTTCGCTCAGTTTTTCACGCTTGATGAATTAAGCTCTTTCACAAAATTCAACAAGTTATTAACTTACTTCGGCATTCTGGTACTTGAGAAGAATTCCAAGATAGGTCCAACAAGCATGTCAAGGAAGCGTACTGTAATTGGCTAGTGGGAATGACGTAACCTTCTTCACATACATAATTACAAACTGTTCCAACAAGTAAACGACTAGATTCAGACGATTCACAAATTACGAAACCATGGTCTATTTCCTGTAGAGCGTCACAATTAGAAGCTGAAATAAAATACATTCAAAAATATCAAAATGTCGCCATCAGGCAATGAAGGTTTGCTGACACATTTCCAGATTATTAACAATTATACGTTTGCCTGTGATGATCCCAAACAGCTACTGGATCTTTTACAAATAATGTATATTCTGAAAAACCCTCAAAATGAAACTATTTAAGCTACTCTACACCTTAGTAAAATACAAGCATAATGCGCAATTTGCTTTAAATGACCAGAAAGCTATAAATTATTTAAAAACAAAATACATAACGAATTTGGCGTTTTTTGGCACAAAACAACTAGACCATATGCGCCTACATCACAAAAACACAACTGAAACTATTGTTAATCTGTAACGTCTGGATCAAAATAGCGTAAACCGTCTAACCTCAGGATGAAAAAGCGTTACCCGTCTAACGTCTGAATTGAAATAACATTACTAAAACATCAGCCTACAGTTAATATGATTAACATGTGGCTCCAAAGAAAGTTCATAAAAAAACAACATTAACCAGCTGATAACCTAACTAAATTGTAGGTCCAAAGAAAGCTGATAAAAAGAACTAACCCACCAATAACCTAACTAATGTGTTGAGCTGAGATAGTTTATAGAAACATGAACCCGTGTCTGTAAAATAGTTTTTAAATCATTAACTCACGTGGTTTAAGTATGAGTCTAAAAAACAAGTTGATAAAAAGAGTAACCAGCCGATAACTGAAGTTCGGGTCTAAAGAAAATTGATAGAAGCATTTCATCCGCTGATAACTTGACTGATAATAAGGAATTAAAGAAAGTTCACAAAAAAGTAAGTTCTATATATTCGGGATTAATAAGAAATCCCCCCCTGATAACCTCACTCATGTCTGGTTCTAAAGAAAAATCAAACTACCAACTGTCCCTTAACCTTGATATTATGTGTATCTAAAGAAATGTATTAAACCACAACATAAAAGACAACCTCAATAATGCAAGGAGCTCATGAAACCTATGTAATACATTAATATACAACCTGAATATTGACTGGCACCTTCCTGAAATCATATATCACTAAGCAACTTCAATATGTTGCCTAAACATCAACCATTCGGAAATCTTGGTGAAATCAAACATCACTATGTATCTTGAATAACATACTGAAGTAAAGTAATTAGTAAGAACAATAACCACGTGGTTACCTATATGGTTAACTTTTAATTCTAATAGAGTTACTCGAACCGTTCACTACTAATTAATTGTTAATATCTTGGTCTTAAATAGGTTGCTAAAAATACTTATACCCACGTGTCCTAATAAAGCGTGGAGTTGGGCAGACGGGACATATGTATGTCCCACTGAGCTATATATAACTGGAGAGGACAACCAATGATAAAGGACTTTTGTTCTGTAGCCAGCGGGTATCATCCATTTTGTAGCACCCACAAACGAACGATCACAGCTCACATTGCTTATCGCATCGTTTTTAAGTATAAAAACAAACAAGATGCCATGCTGTGCAGCATATAATTGCCAAAACTAGTCGGAAGATAAGAAAAAAACTGTAATTTCGTTTCACTGGTGAGTTGGTCTTTAAAAAATATAGCTTTCGTGCTGTAGAGTAGAAATGTATGATTGATGGATCTTCAGCCCCCACAAACCGATACTGCAATAGTAATGAACAAACGTTTTATACTTTTGTTCATAAAGAACCTAGATTTCATCATATCGCCTCTATTTTTAATTATAGGAGACATATTTTAGACTTAAGTATTCCAATAGCCTCTGTGTACAAATTATACAAGATTAAGTTTGAAGATTAATTCTGGGTAAACCTGTAGATTCGCACCATCACTCTTATTGTCTTTTCTAACATTATTGTAGGAGTACAGATCTAGTCTTTGGGGTTAGGGTAGATGTTTGTCATGATATGAAAGAGTGTTTAATTCAGATATTATTGATTAATTTATTTTGTGAGTGAATATTTTATTACTGTTTAGTTTTTGTTATAATAAGAGTTAAAAACAGATGATTGTAGGAAGTTGTGTTTATAAGTCATTGATGTTGAGACGTCGCGTGCAATACAGGACGTCGAGAATATAGAGATTTCCAGACAGCGGGCATATGATTAAGTGAGAAACATAAAAATAGTGTGAGATGAGCGGAAACAGTAGACATACAATAGTAGAAGAGAGTAAAGTTACTGGCAAGGAAAAGTTCTACCATAGAAGTGATAGGCCTAACGATTAACATAGGCCTAACGTTTAATATGTTAGAGTAAGACTAACAGTAGAAAATGAGAAAAGAAGAACAATTATTCCGACAAAGCGTGGTTCTAAAGTAATTGAATCAGCATTAGCGCACTTTGACAAAACAAACAGAGGATATTTAGAAGAAAGAAAGAAGGGAAGACCAAACGATTACACTAACTCTCGCCACAACTGTAAAAGAATCACACAGAATACTAGTGCAATAGTAATGGAGAAGATAGTTCGGCTCGTCAACTGAAATTCTAAAGCAATTGAATAGGCCTAAGTGGACTTTTGATAACAAGAAGAGAACTACATATATAGTGTTTATATGTAGTGTGAATGATTTATTATACGTACGTTTATATTGTTCCGAATATACATATTATTTTGAAAACAAATGAAGTGCGTGCTGCTCATTTATCGTTGAATTTATCCCCAACAAGTCACAGACACCTACTGT